CACTCCCAGCTATATATTCTTTTTTTAAAAGAAAAGAAATACCTCATTTCACTCTTTGGGAATAAGGCAGAATTCAACCTGAACCATTTTGGTGGTTCATGAATACTTAACAAAGCACTTTAATATTGACAAAGGTCTTCCATAGTCCTCCCTGGCCATCATCGAGCCCCTCCCTCTTCACCCAGGCCTTTGTGATCCCCTCAAATTCAGATGTCTGAAGGCTTGCAGGCCTGTGCTTGGTCACAGGGCTTCTAGCAAGGTTGGGGTTCTTTCTGCATAGTCTCTGCCCTGGAGGTACTGCTTTATCATTGCCTACAGGATCTTATCCCCTGTGTATGCCACAGATGGGAAATGGGGGACCCTTGGCAATGCAGGGTTCAGATCCTCATTGTGGGATCCAGACACATATCCCATCCCTACCCAAAAGCTCCTTTCCTCTCCCTGAAGCTCTGCAAGACACCCAGTGTGATCCATTCAAATTATTCTGTTCAGCCACCTTCCATTTCTTTAAACACAAGAGCCCAGAAGTCTTGGTAGTTTCTATTCACACCATCACAAGAATTCCCTGAGACAAGGATTTCAAATTTTGAAGTAGGGAAAAATAATGTGAATGAACTCAGTTTAGTATCTTCAGAACAGTCTCACCCAAATATGTGAGCTTTGGGTATGTGGTGGAGTCCGGGGAAGAGGCATCTTCTTTCTCTATTACCACACCTACGATGTCACTTAAATTCTTCATTCACATGGGTCCATGCTAATTTTGATGATTTTTAAAAATGAGATTATTAGTATGAAAATATGCAAATTATTTTTAGTTCATCCACCAACAAACCTTTTTTCAGCAAAGCTTACCTGCCATATATAGTTGTCCTACTTTTTTGCCTTAGAATGATAAGTTCAGAATGTTAACTTCTCCAGAGTTCTGTACTGGCAACATCTGTACACAGACTGACCTAGGCTTTGGTCTGTGAAGGCTCTTTCCCTACACCCGGCTTCATCCTTCGGCATGGCCCCATTCTGCTACATTCTTTTCTTTCATTGCCCAAGTAATAAGGCCTGGCAAAGCTCATTATCAGATCACACATCTATGCTAAATCCTTGAACACTAATAAATGCCTGAAATTTTGTTTAAAAATGCCATTTAAAAAACTAAGAATGACGCATAGCTCACCTCGGGTTCATACACAGGAGCAATGTTGAAGGTTAACAGAAAAAACATGGAGGAAGGGTTAACATGAAATATGAGTCAAACCCAGCTCTAAGGGAATGAAATAATAATCTTTGGAAAACATAATTAAACTTCTAAACATGTTACTCTGCTTCTTATTTATCTTCATATCAACTAAAATAAACATCATTAGCAAATAGCAAATTATGGGTTGCTGACTGTCATCTGGATGCTTACTTAATGAAGCATTTCTGGTTGTTGAGAATTTATGGGGATTTTTTTTTTTTTTTTGCAGGATGCTATAGTTATCCACGAAGTCTATGAAGAAGGAGCAGCAGCCAGAGATGGAAGACTGTGGGCTGGAGACCAGATATTGGAGGTACCTAGTTCTGAATTGTATTTTATACCAGAGCACGATTCCTTTGCCAACCTTGATCCACAAGATCAATTTGTCTGGCTTTTATTCAGTGACACCCTTGGTGATTTCTCTCCCATTGAAGAAAGCATAAGTTATATTCCTCTTTTTTCTTTTTTAATCTGCATTAAACAACTGGCTGGTTTATAACCATGACATTGTTGATCTAAATCTTTCTGTGAAAATGTTTTTTAATTTAAAAGTACCACTTAAAGTTCTATAGTTTTGTTTTTTTGTCTGTTGTTCTTTAGTAAATTCTCTGCTAAACACATACTCATACAGACACATACATCAATTTTAAAAACTTTGATGCTACCTATCATTTTCATAATCCTAATAAACCGTTTTGTAAAAAGGTTTGTAAAAATGTATCTACTAGCATTTTCAAGTTAACAAAAATGTAAAATTTTTCTCTTTAGGTGGTATATAATACTTACCAAACACTGACATGCTTAACTGAGCTCTTTCAAACTGCCTGTTATCTAGCAAAGTTGTTAAAGCTTTTTAAATGTGCTAGGACAGGGGCTGAAGAAATGGCTCAGCGGTTAAGAGCACTAGCTGCTCTTGCAGAGGACCCAGCACCCACATGGTAGCTAACAATCATCCATAACTCCAGTTCCAGGGAATCTGATCCTTTACTCTGGCCTCCATGGGCACTGCATGTAAGCCATACATTCAAGCAAAACATTCATACACATAAAATAAAATAAAAGATAAGGGCCTAGAGAGATGGCTCAGTGATTAAGAGCACTCACTGGCTGTTCTTGCAGAAGTCCTGGGTTCAAATCGCAGCACCCACATGGCAGTTAACAACCATCTATGGATCCAGTGCCTTCTGTCCTCTGTGGGCATTGCACAACACAGGTGCACTTGCATACACGCAGGCAGTATACACATACACATAAAATAAAAATAAATAAAATAAAAATATATGAAATAAAAATAAAACATAAAATATTTCTAAAAACATAAAAGATAAATCTAAAAAAAAGTGCCAAGACAAGGAGTATGACACTAGGGACAGATGAGCAGAAAGTCAGTCAATGTCTGGCATTCTGGTAGGTGAAACTAAAGAGCTTTCTCAATGATGTGAGACTTTGGACAACATCTAATTCTTTCATTGTATGGATTTTTATGGTGGGCATGTGCAGTTTTTGCTTTGTACCTTTAATATAGCACATTATGAATAACAACACAGAATTTTACTTTTCCCCTGGGTGGTTCATTTCTGCCCCCCAAGATAAACACAGATATAAAGGGTGGAGAACCTGGATGAGAAGGGTCTGTGAAAGAAAGAGCCAGGCTGACTGCAAATTAAACTCGGGCCAAGTTGCTAGTCTTCTCTGTAGGCCTTGAATGTGCTGCATCACTGGGTTAGGACATATTCCCAGTACATTCATTAAGACGCTAGTGAATGAGGTCAGAAAAACAGTCAGGGCCTCTGTGGAAATTAGCCTGAATGCTTTTGCATACAACAGTTTTTCAGTGAGCAGAAGTGTGGGGACTTTTTTTAGATTTTTTTTCTCCTCCCTTAGATACTCTAATCAATCAGTATTATCGTAATTGACTTAAGATGAGTAGGTTAAATATTAAAAAATAATGCGAATATGTCTTGCTGCATACATAAATTTTAAGCTCATAAATTATCCTGTATTGGTCACTTGAAACTAAATCTGTTTGTTGTCTTCTGAGTGTGGCAGTGGCCTCACTATGGCAATATGTCAAAACTCTATCAAACTGTGTACTTTAAATATGTGTAGCTTATTTTATGTCACTATACTTCAATAAAAATTTTTCAGCTGGACATGGTGGCACATGCCTTTACTCTCAGTACTTGGGAGGCAGAGGCAGGCAGATTTCTGTGAGTCCAAGGCCAGCCTGGTCTACATAGTCAGTATATTCCAGGCCAGCCAGGAATATATAGTGAGACCCTATCTCAAAAAAAAAAAATAAAAGTTCTGCCAGGCATATTACAGGCTTATGGTGCAGACTGGTACAGACTTATGGTCACAGCACTCAAGAGACTAAGGCAGGAGAATCACTAGTTCTAAGTCTGCCAGGACTACAGAGTGAGTTCAAAGCTAGGGTAAACAGCTTGGTGACACCCGGCTAAAAATAAAACTTTAAAATTTTTTGCATTTATTTATTTATTGTGTGTCTGTGTATGTGTGCATGTATGCATGTATGCATGTATGCCACAACACACATGAGGAAAACAAAAGACAAATTAGAGAAGCCAGTTCTCTCCTTCCACCATATAGGTTCCAAGTAACAAGTGCCATTACCTCCTCACCTGCCTAAATTAAGCCACTTTTGTTTTTGTTTCATTTTGTTTTGTTTTGAGAGAGGGTCTCACACTGTAGCCCAGGCTGACTTCAGACTCACTATGTAGCTGAGGCTGATCATGATACTGTTGCTAGGATTACAGGCCTGAGCCACCACACCAGGCAGAAACACTTTTTAAGTGTTGGGGCATAGGGTGCTTGGGATTCAATTCTCAGTACCATTTTTAAAAATTACTATCTCAGCCGGATGTGGTGGTGCACACCTTTAGTTCCAGCACTCAGAAGGCAGAGGCAGGTGGATCTCTGAGTTCAAGGCCAGCCTGGTCTACATAGTAAGTTCCAGGCCAGCTGGGACTACAGAGGAACCCTGTCTCAAAAAGACCAAAAAAAATTTAAATTACTATCTCTGGAGCTGGAGAGATGGTTTAGCTGTTAAGAGCACTGGTTGCTCTTGCAGAGGACCTGGGTTCAGTTCCCAGCACCCATATGATAGCTAACAAGTGCCTATATCTCCAGTTTCAGGGGATACAGCACCCTCTTCTGACCCTCGCAGCATTACACATGAGTGCACTTACATGAATGCAGGCAATATACTCATACACATAAAATAATAAAGTACTATCTCTATTTGACCCTTAGCTGTAGCTGCTTTCTTCTCTAAGTACATTAATACACAGATGAACCTCAGAAAAAAATTAGCATAAAGAATGCACTCTTGGAGACTGGGGAGGTGGCTCCATAGTGCTTGCTGTGCAAGCATGAGGACCTAAGTTTGGATCCCCAGCACCCACATAAAAAGCTAGACATGGCAGCCCTCACCTGTAACCCCAGAGCTGAAAGATAGAGCCAGATGCCTTGGGCTTGCTGGCTTCTGAAATGGTAAGCTCCTGGTTCAGTGAAAAACCTTGTCTCAAAAAAATAAAATCGAGTGTAACAGAGGAAGACACCCAGTGTTGACTTCTGGCCTCCACACAAGCATCTACACACACATACAAGAGGGAGAGAGGGAGGGACGGAGGGAGGGAGGGAAGGAGGGAGGGAGGGAGGGAGATAGATGGAAGAATTTTTTATTTTTCCAGTTTTCATATGTGTATGCTTATGCATGTAGAGGCCAAAAGTTGATGTCAGACCATCCCCAATCTTCCACCTTCTTCATCAAAGCAAGGTCTTTCCATTGAACCCAGGCCTCACTGATATGGCCATCTTGCTGGTCATCTTGCTCTGGAGATCCCTTTCTGAGGCTGGCTGCCATGCCCACCCAGCATTTATGTGGATTCTGGTCTTCACACTTGCACAGTAAACACTTTAACCACAGGGCCATCTCCCCGGCCCAAAAGAGAACTTTGAAAGGTCAAGTCAACCATTTTGTGGCATGTAACAGCTTCAGATTATCCAGTCTAGAAGAAAAGCCCATGCTTTTCAATGAAGATGGCCAGTACAGGCTCTTCCCTTAAATAGGATCTAGCTCAAAAGAATAGTGTATCATGTGTTTAGTTAAGAAACAACTTGCAGTTTGGTCAATTAACATGTTCATTTCTGGGCCGGGCATGGTGACACATGCCTTTAATCCCAGCACTTTAATCCCTTGGAGGCAGAGGCAGGCAGATCTCTGTGAGTTCAAGGCCAGTCTGGCCCACATAGTGAGTTCCAGGTCAGCTGGAGCTACAGGGAGAAGCTGTCTCAAAGAAAAAAAAAAAAAACAAAACGAAACTAAAACAAACAAACAAAAAAACAAAATGTTCATTTCTGAGCAGCTCGAGACCCTGTACTTAGATGTTTTCTAGTTGTGGATGATTTAGTAAATGCATGACGTATAATCAATATGTGGCTGCAAGCTGCCTGGAGAAGACAGGCCAGCTTTGGTGGGGCACTTTAAGGCCAGGCAACAAAGTGTTCTTAAATGCTGCTGTCAGGACCAAGGTCTTAAAGTCCCAACATCAGCACTTTACCAATAATGACTATTCTTTTTTTTTCCCTCTTAATTTTATATGTATGAGTATTTTGTCTACATATATGTAAGTGCACCCATGTGCGTAGTACCTATGAAGGTCAGAAAAGGGCATCAGATCCCCTGAAATTGGAGTTATGGACAGTTATTAGCCGTGTGAGTGCTGTGATCCACACCCAGGTCCTCTGCAAGAGCAGCCAGTGCCCTCAACCACTGAGCCATCTCTCCACCCAACAGTAGCTTTTCTGCTCTCAAGTGTCCTCTGCATTCTCCATGCTGGTCTGCCGCGGTCTCAGAGATCCCTGCTAGTTATTCTTCTTGTTGCTACAGACAGCACCTGACAAAAGGAAGCATGTATTTGGCTTACGGTTCCAGGAGTGGATGGCAGAGGAAGTATGCATGGGAGCTAGTCATGTTGCATCCACACTTAGGAAGCAGAGAACAGAGAATGCTTGTGCTCAGCTATTTCCTCCTTGTTCAGTCCAGGACACTAGCCAGGCGAATGCTACCACCCACATTTCAGTGGATCTGGCCATCTCAGTTAACCTAGTCCAGATAATCCTTCAGAGACATGCCCAGAGCCTTGTCCCTTTAGTGATTCTATATCCTGTCAAGTTGCCAATCAGTTTTAATCATCACAGAATCCTAATGTTAAAATCAGGACAACCCAGATTTTATTCCAAAGATATAACCAAATAATTTTTTATTTATTATTTGTATTTTTTAATGTG